CCTGCCTGGGTAACTTGGTGAAACCTCATCTCTATAATAAATCAAAAAATTAGTCGGCCGTGGTAGCGCGCGCCTGTAGTTGCAGCTACTTGGAAGACTGAGGAGGAAGGATCGCCGGAGCCCAGCAGGTCGAGGCTGTGGTGACCGGGAGTGGCCACTGCACTCCAGTCTGGGTGACAGAGTGAGACTCCCACTCAAAAAAAAAACAACTCAGCTGTGATTCAAAGGGGCAAACAAAAGGTGCTTTTTTTTACCTTCTTTTTTTTTTCACTTAGGAAATTCCAAGGGTTTTAGGAGCTCTGTACCAGGAATGGGGAGGAGAACCAAATATATATGTATTACTATGCTATAAATCACAATTGCACACATAATATTATGTCCTTGGGACTATCATTTGCACAAAGGGGCCGTACATGTCACTGCTTTGTCCTGTGAAAACGATCCTTGAGTCGTGACGGTCAGTTCGCTCCTAACAGCTGTGAGAGACCAGAATGTGCCACCCCAAAATATGCCTCTTTGGCGTAAGGATTGTTGAGCGGAAGCCAATTAAAAAAGAAGCAGGGGCAGGAGTGCTCGCTGTTCTCTCTCTGTTTGCCTAAAAGATTCACAAAGACAAAAGTGCTTGCTACCAGGGAGAGCAAAGGTTAACCGCTGGAGACAGTTTTAGGTCCCCATGGGCCTGGAGATGGCACCAGAGGAACCCACACGAACGACAAGCTTGACTAAGGCAACTTCACCTGCCATTTGCCACAAGTTGCTGCCCCTTGGGACAAAAAGTCCTTTCCCGTGGCCTTGTCCCTGCTCTAGAAACTTCCTGTTGAAGACGCTGTATAAGCTGGAATTCAAAGCCACCTCTTTGAAAATCATTTGTTCATTCCCTGGTGTTTTCCATATGAAATATACATATGAACAAACTTTGGTTTGTTTTTCTCCCGTTAATCAGTCCTGGGTTACAGGGGTCAGTTCCAGCTAAAAATTTATGAGGATTGAGGAGAAGATTGCTTTTCATGTATCGCCAATGACTAGGAACAACCCAAATACATCAATCAATAGAAGAATTGATAAGCAAATTGGTGTCTGTCTGTATAATTAAACTCTACATAGTCATAAGAATTTTTAAAGCAAATGATACTCACAATATGGACGAATTTCACAGGCATTCTGTGTGTTTTGAGTCAGAGTCTCCCTCTGTTGCTCAGGCTGGAGTGCAGTAGCCCAACCATAGCTCATCACAGCCTTGATCTCCTGGGCTCAGGTGGTCCTTCCACCTTAGCCTCCTGAGTAGCTGGGACTAAAGGTGTGCACCACCATGTCTGGTTCATTTTTTAAAAATTATATTTTGTAGAGACGGGGTTTTGTTTCCCAGGCTGGTTTTGAACTCCTAGGCTCAAGCGATCCTCCCTCCTTGGCCTCCCATAGTGCTGGGACTGCAGGTGTGAGCCACCGCACCCAGCCTCACAGACATTCTATTGAGTGTCCATTTACACGAGGTTTAAGAATATACAAACAAATCAATAATTATAGAAATCAGAATTGTGGCTACCTTTGGGGTGGGGAGAGTATTGACGGGGAGGGAGGAAGTACAGGGAAATCCCTTGTTCTAGATCTTTTTTTTTCTTTTTTGAGTCGGAGTCTCACTCTGTCGCCCAGACTGGAGTGCAGTGGCTGCTCCCAGCCACCGCAGCCTCGACCTGCTGAGG